TTTATTGTATCACTTGGAGGGTTGTGAGAAATTCCAGAATAAACCTGAGTTTTAAATTGCTATCTTTGGAGTAGATTGGTGTTCAGTGTTGTACTTTCTGTATCATCTTTAAATATTTAAATTGCAGACTCTCTGGCTGCCTCTTAAATTAGATCCTTCACTTAGTAGTTTTGACATTTCATAACCTTGCTCCTCAGGCATTAAATATTCACCTGTTTAAATGGCAGTGAAAATTTAAAATCCAAACCCATTCTGTTAATCCAGTAAATGTAGATCGGCGAACAGCTCGCAACTGGTGAAAGAAGAAGCTATTTCATCCCACTGGGGCATATGCTGGATGTTCATTGTATTGAAGTATATTTCTGATACATAATTTGCCATAAAACAAAACCATTTCTTGGGTCTACTCCAAGGGGTATTAACCTTGGAGAGCCATAAAAACCAACTTACAACTTTGAGGTTTAAGATAGACCAAGAGATTCTATAGGTGAGCATTATTCAAGACACCAGTACAGACTCCACATCCAGAAAAATCAGTGGAGAAGGTCGCTGATAATTACCAGGTACAAAATTTTGCCTGGAAACTGATTTAAATCTCCAATGTACAAGTCTTTATCCCACTGGGAGAGTCTTCTTCCTACTTTGATCTAAGTACATTCTGTTTATAATCCTTTGAGATAGAAGAAGAAATATTTGGCTTTTCTTGGAATGGAAGATGTTATTGACAGTGACATCCTTGATAGAGCAGGAGAAGGGCCTATAAATCCTAAGAAATGGTGCAGGGGCAAGACATGGCACGCTGGTCTGGGAGAAGGATGGTTACGCTTCCTTATATTTTTATTTCTTGGAAGTTCATGAGGGGTAGAGGTAGGTATTTGTTGCTCATTTAATTACATTCTAAGAAAGTAACAAAACCAGTGTAAAAATCCTAAGTACCATGTGAAGTTTCTCCAGTGAATCTCAATTTGTGGCCACTTACTCTTTCTTGTGAGAAGTTACTTTAGAGAAAATGAAATAAAATAATTGATTTCTAGTGGCATCTTGTCTTCTGCTGTCTTAGCTCAATTTCACTGTGTGTGAGTCTGTGTGTTAGTGTAAGAAACAACCAAGATTTAATTCTTCCAAACTTTCAGAACAAAAGTTACTATAGTAAATGGTAGAAAGAAAACTGGACAAGGATACAAGGATCCTGTGTTTGGAGTTTGAATTCAGCAGTATGTTACTTACCTTGCTGATACTATTTGCCCAGCTATAAAATACTAACGTGCACCCTACCTACCACAAACAGAATACTCTACTTGAAAATGTTTTGCACAAGTCTTGAAAGCCCCTAAGTGTAAGTTAAATGGAAATAATAATTGTTGCTACCATGAGTTCATATGTAGTATAGTTCATTTCTGTCCTGCCTGTGGTGATGGAAGCAGTTCTTTGAGAAAGTCACTAAAAAAATCTCTTTTGAGGAGGCTTACTGTTGGTTCTTGGAGCCCTTTTAATGAGGCTGTGTTCTAAAAATGTACCCTGGATTTGTTTTAATCAGGTATGGTAGGATATGCTGACATGGAAATTATGGTTATGAAGGAAGTAGTTTATAGTTACAGATCTTTAGAAATGGGGTGAGGACTCCTCATTGGTTCAGTCAGTTAAGAATCTGACTTTGGCTCAGGTCATGATCTCGCGGTTCGTGAGATGGAGCCCTGCATCAGGCTCTGGTCTGACAGCACAGAGCCTGCTTGGGATTCTCTGTCTCCCTCAGTCTCTTCCCCTTGTCTTCTCTCTCTCTCTCTCTCTCTATCTTTCCTCCTCCCCTTCTTCTCCCTCTCTCCCCCTCTCCCCCATCTCCCTGTCCCTCTCTCTCACTCCCCCCTCCCTCCCTTTGTTTCCCTCCCTCTCTTCCTCTCTCTCCCTCTCCCTCTGTTTCCCTCCCTCTCTTCCTCTCTCTCTCAAAAATAAGCTTAAAAAAAAAAAAAAAGGAAATGGGCATAACATGACATGTAGGGCCACATGGGGAAGTACCAAGGATGATCAGGAGGCAGAGACACCAAGGCAGTGTGTTGTCCAGAGCCTTTATTGTAGTTCCCAGTGGGAAGGAAAGGGTGAGGCGGGTTAGGTGTGCTGAGTTTAGCATTGGATAATTTGAATTATTTTGAAGGGCTCTAGGTTGGGAGTGGGGGTTCCTAGCTGTCAGGCACCTGGCCCTGGGATGATTTAGGATGGGGAGTATAGGCTTGTTATGTGAGAATTTGATAAATGAGATATGTTGTGGGTTTGCTTTGTTTATGTATTGAAGGCAGGCTCACAGGAGAGTCATTTACTGTCTCCAAGAAGTAGCTATCTCTGGAGGGGCAGTCTCTCCAATATCAAGGCCCCAGATGCTAGAGCATCAAAAATACAGAAAATAAAATCTAGTCAATACAGGCTAGAAATTAAAGGAGCAGGGTGAACTTGAGACCGGACATTGAAGGGGGGAGAAAAAAAAACAAAAAACAGATAACATAACTGACCCAAGTATGTTTTCAAAGCTTTTATATAAGCACTAAATATAAACCCGTTTTCCTAAATATATTTTAGGATAACTTTTAAAACACTCCGCCCACACTCCTCTGAAATGCACAGAGCAGTAAATGTCACTGCATGAGTAAATTATTCTGGAACACAGTAATGGACTCAGGTTACTCTCAGTTTTAATGGTCTGTGTCTTTCTCAGATGCATATAGAGCTAAATGATGTTTATAGTCACCTAGGTTTTCAGGTTCTGTGCAAGAATTTTGTGTACATTAGAAATTATTAAGATTCCTAATAATCCTGCAAAGGAGGTATGGTTACATGCTAATAGCCTTAAATGTGTGTAACTTCGCAGAGCCTTAATGAATCGAAGGTAGTTTTGAGCCCAGGCACTCTGGTTAGAAAGTTGTCACCTAGAACCACCATTATACTTCCTCACGCCGTGCTTGAGCTCCTGGAGTGGCTGTCTGCCTCCACGGCCTGTTTCCTCAGCCCTTGGAAGGGAGAACGTACAGATGCATATTCAGTTGCCCATGGGAAGTGGTTCTTCCTAAAGAGAACACTTCAGTCCATGGTCCCAAGCAGACTAACAGCTGCCTTGCCAAGAGCTCCCAGTCTCTGAAAGCAAGAGTTTAAGTGGTGGGATTTGTAGCTTAACCTCTTAATTGAGAATTGTACTTTAGAAAAGAAGTAGGATATTCATGTTTTCGTATCACTGGGGGCATCTGTAATTCATTTGCTTTATTTTTTGTTTTTGTTTATCTCAGTTTATAGCAATCCCAGGACTAGGTCCCACTTGAATTATTTTGATGATCACTTGGGATTTTCCTTCATATTTTTCACTTACATTTAAGTTTCTCAATCTTCACTCCTAAGTGTTTAGGCATAGAGAAAAAGTGCATGTGAGTAATTATCTCTCAGTGCTCTACCACTCTTCCAAATTCCTTATGTCTGTAGCATCGGACAGTGCTCATGTAACTTCAAATACAGCCTTTGGACCTGCAGGTGTGTTTTCACTTGTTAATGAGCAAACTTGTTGAATAAAGGATAAGAGTATTAAATGTTAACACTAGTGGGGTAGGGATGAAAGATAGCAAGACGTTTTTATTAAGTAATATAAAGCTGGCTACTTTTTTTTTTTTTTTTTTTTTTTTTGGTGAAAAGCCAAAAAGAAAATGGTGATAACACTGGGCATAATTTAAACCATGGAGAATATATTTGAAGATACTAAAAGCTTGTTGAAATTGAAAATATATTTTTTTAAATTCTGCTTTTGAAATGAGCACTGGACTATATTAAAGGTGGATACTTCAGTAGATGAAAGTGGCAAGTACAAGTTTTCAAGTTATGGTACCTGAGCAAATCGATCTGAATTAGACCCATTGATTATTTTTATGAATGATCTGAAAGATGGAGGCTATATGGTGACCTTGTAGTTAGGTAGTTCAGAAAAGTTTAGAATTAAACTAGAGGGAATGTGGTCAGGAATAGCACATGAGATTCAGAGCTGTCTGAAAATTGTCAGAGAAAGATGTAGGCAAAGAGCTGTCGATTATGTTTTGGGCAAGCTCTCGATGACTGTGTGAACTGTCCCTTAAATCCTATGGTCTAGCCAGCTTGCTCTGGGCCCACAGGATCATTGGGTTATTAGATTGATTTTACTCAGCACATATTCTAACATCTATCATATGCCAAGATACTGAGGATAACAGTGATCGTAGTGAGAGTTGGTTCCTTAGTGCATGGAGCTTACGTGAAGAATGTTGATCATAAACGAATACCTGCAGACTTACTTTGTCTTCCATCCTTGTAGAATTTTGAACACTATATCTTAAAGACAGGGAAGCTTTTTGAAAGGTTACATAAAATGGTAGTTAAGGCCAGTAAAAGGGACTTAGGACTTTTTAGAAAATAAAAGTTACAGAGCGTTGTGGACAAGAAGACAATAGACAAAGAATAGCTAGGGATACAGCTCATTCATATACTTAAATTTCTAGAAGTTTAGGGATAATAAAAAGCTATTTTGAAATGAATCAGAAAAGCATACTTAGTGATAATAGGGTAAATTTTTAGAAACTTTATACCACCACCTGCAGAGATGGGAGAGGCTTAAAAACAGGTCAGACAAATGTGTCAAATGAATTTAGAGTTTAACTTAATTACTCGATTGAGCCTACATACTTAGCTTTGGGGGTTGGCCCCGTTGAGGACATCCTATTACCTGAGTACTGTGCCATGTGCACCACTGGTTTATTTTGAAAACCTGCAAATCTAGAGATAAATACGATCTCTTTTCTTCACCTTAGGGAATAGCATTTCCCATTGGTTGAGCATTTCTCCAGGAATGAATAAAATGGTTAATGCATGACTTTTTAACATCTATATTTGTCATGTACTCCGTAGGGAAAAGCTGCTAACTAACTTTAGGCAGTCATTGAGTTTCTGAAGGGAGGTAACTTGAGTGCGTGTAGATGCTTAATTTCATTTTCCTTCTCCAGGTTTCCTATGCTCGCCCAAGTTCAGCTTCTATCAGAGATGCGAATTTGTACGTCAGTGGACTTCCAAAAACAATGACCCAGAAGGAGTTGGAGCAGCTTTTTTCACAATATGGACGCATCATTACTTCTCGTATTCTTGTTGACCAGGTCACTGGTAAGTAAGCAGCTGCTCTAGACAATCTTTGACATTTTCTGAGTGGCAGATTGTGAAATATTCTGCCTTTCCATACATCAGTCTTGTCTCTAGAACATATCAAAGGTATATGTGGACCAGAAAATGCAATTTTCTGCTGGAATTGTTCATAAATATGCATGGATAAAAATAGATTGTGGAGTGAAGTGAGCGAGCTTGAGTCATTTCCACCCCGAAGGGGCAAGTTCGAAGCCTGTTTTATGGCATGTAATAAATTTATAGATGATATAATCCTTTTTTCCAAGCTGCTGCGTGAAAAAAGCCCCCATTCTCCATAAAATACTCCTCCTAATAAGCTGTCTTGTTTTTTGTAAAAAGCATAGCTTAATGCAGTAGAATATAGCACCTAGTTCTCTAAAGGAAGGTGACACTGTGTCCACACTGGCTGTTCAGGCTGGTTTCCAGGACCATGCTGGGTTGTATGGGCATGTGTAAAAGGTTGACGTTTTGAATGTTAAAACATTTTATGCCTGGTGGATCTTTTGGCCAAATCGTAACGAGAAGACTGATAGGTTTATTAAAACTTTTGTTTGTAAGGGATCTCTTCTTCCAAAGCTTTTAAGAAAAGCAACATAGATTTGATTATGGATTTTAAAAACAAATGATAATTTTCTATTATAAAAACTTTATTTTTTTTAAAAACCTACTGAAAATAGAGCAACATGATAAGGAGTGGGAAAAATTAGCTGTAGGGTCATATACTCCAGCAGTCACATTAAGGTTTTGGGGAAAATATAGACAGGTTTTCCTCTTTAATATTCTTCGTGTTTCTTCTTTTCCTTTCTTTTACTTTCCCTGTTTTCCTTCTCCTTTTCTCTCTCTCTTATAATACCACCGAAGGAGATGCATTTTTTTTTTTAATATTTTTTAATTTATTTCTAGGAGAGAGAGAGAGACAGCGTGAACAGGGGAGGGTCAGAGAGAGAGAGGGAGTCACAGACTGAAACAGGCTCCAGGCTCCGAGCTGGCAGTCAGCACAGAGCCCGACGCGGGGCTTGAACCCACGAACCGCGAGATCATGACCTGAGCGAAAGTCAGACGCTTAACTGACTAAGCCACCCAGGCGCCCCTGGAGATGCATTTTGTATAACAGTGTCTGTTTTCTTTTTAAACTAAGCAGTGGGCATTCTCTTATAATCCTTTGTATTTCTGTGGTGTCGGTTACTTCTCTTTCCTTTCTCATTTTGCTTATTGGAGCCTCTCCTTTTGTTTTAATGAGTCTGGCTAGAGGTTTATCAGCTTTGTTGATCTTTTCAAAGAACTAGCTCGTAGTTTCATTGATCTGTTCTATTGGGTTTTTGTTTGTTGGGTTTTTTTTGGGTTTGTTTTAAAGTTTCTATATCATTTATTTCTGTTCTAGTCTTTAAAAAAAAAAAAAAAACGAAGCACTAGATTAACTACAGAATAAAATGAGACCAAGTTTTTAATTCTTCAAGTGAAGATCAGTGGAGTTGATGTGAGTTTGAATAGAAGCAACCCATGTTACACTCTTGTTCACTGTTAATTGGGCTCGTCCATAGGAGGCACTGTCATTAGAATTTTGGGTGGAGAGAGCTCTGCCTTCATATATGTATGTTTGGGAGAATGGCCAATAAGTTTTGCTTTATGAAGAAAATTTAGTCAAGGGAATGAATGTAAAAATTCAGTCTTTTCATCATGGCTGTTTTATAGTCTTCCTCATATGCGCCTTCACTTGTGCTCTATCACACAGACTGCTAATCTGTGAAGGAGAAATTCAGGTTGAGCAATCTAGATAAATTGGCGTAAAGCAACAGAAATGCCCTTATATTTGTTCATACCATCACACTTTTTAAATTAATCATTCTTAATGAGAACTTGGTGAATTGAGAGTAGATTTCACTTCTGCTACTGAAAGCCCATCTCCTTAAGTGCAAATCCATCCTGAGTACATTGGCTCCCAAGTAGACTTATTTCGTCTCTTTTGGGTTAGTCATTGGTTCTCCAATGTGGTCCTACTCCTGCAGGATCAGCATCCTCCTGGAACTTCACCAGAAATGCAGATTTCTGGGTTATTCTGGTGCGTGCTCAGGTTGAGATGACTCAGTCTTTGTAGAGGCTATGGCATTGCTCATCTAATGCTTTCCTCATGGAATAGTTAAGTTCTAGGGGTTATTCTTCACCCTAGTGGATAAGAAAGGATATATTTGCTGTCATTTCAGCATTTTATTTTTATACTTAAGACTTTCAAGGTGAAATTATTCACTTTACCTGAAATGAAAAATAAAACCCTACAATTTTGTTATTCAGCCATCAGGTGGTAATAATGCACAACTTCTGTAATTTAAGTGAGAAGGGAAAAGTGGTATGGGCTGACACAAATGTATATGGAAGAAATGCCTGTCCACTTAGAATAAAATTCTAAGCCATTGAACTTACATAGTATTAATTGTAAAGCACGTAGAACTTAACTACTTTTTAAGGTTCCTATAAATCATGGTGGTCTAGTACATTTTCTCGGCCTATTCTAGACTTTTCTAGCTACTAGTCCCTAGCTGGTATGGCTAGTACCAATTTGCTTGCCAAGAAAGTATTTCCCTGCAACTGTTTATCTCCGGATGGCCAGCTATGGCTTGGCCTCAGCTACCCGTTTAAGCTAATTAAATGGAATGGGTTGGGTTTTTGTCTGCCATTTTTCAGAAGCTGGACAGGTATTTGGCCGTCTCTCTGCTTTCCTTTTCTTGTCTGTCAGAGTGAGGAGAACATGAGACAGAGAATGGCATTTCCATTGGAGTAATACTGCTAAAGCTAGAAAGCTTTGAGGCTTTATTTCTATTTTATTTATTTAAAAATGTAGGTATTCTTTTATCTGTCTTTCACCATGTTTTGTTTCTCTAGTTAAAAGCTGTGGAGGAAGTTTCAGGGAAGCAGAAAACCCTCCTTGGACACTTTCTTAAAGGGCCAGCATCCTATGTAATATTATTAAGTAGAATTTTATTATTAAAAATTTGGCTGTAATATCTTTCTATCCCTGTGTTATATTTTTAGCTTAGCTTTGTAGCATTTTTAGCAAATGCCTGGTTTTGTTCTCCTTATAAGAAAGGAAGCTACTGTGTCCTTCATGAATTTTTGAGCTGCTTATCCAACAGCATAATTTGAGAACTGGAACTCGGGCATGTTGCTATTGACATTATTAAAGAGAATGAGTGTATGAGGGAGAGAGAAGGCAGCAGATAGGGACATACTTGTGTGCTTTCTGTTTTTCTTGGCTTATTGGTAGGCAGGTAACAATGGGTATTCAGATTGTGTAGATGACTTCATTAAAAAATACCAAATTGTGATTCTAGACTGAATTGCTACTGAGGTAAGGTAAAACTTTCCTCCTGTGATTTTGTGGCAGATGTTACATGTAGGTGAAAACTTCTTTTTAAGGAAAAATTAATTTATCCTTTCTTCTCTCCTTCCCTTCTCCTTCTGCTCCCTCTTTCCTAAATCTTTACCCAAATCTACCAATAGGCATATCAAGGGGTGTAGGTTTCATTCGATTTGACAAGCGGATTGAGGCCGAAGAAGCTATCAAAGGCCTAAATGGCCAGAAACCGCCTGGTGCCACAGAGCCAATCACTGTAAAGTTTGCTAATAATCCAAGCCAAAAAACCAATCAGGCCATCCTTTCCCAGCTGTACCAGTCTCCAAACAGAAGGTATCCAGGACCACTAGCTCAGCAGGCACAGCGTTTTAGGTAAGTTTGGTCTGATTCTCATGCCCAGCTACTCAACTCTGAACTCTCAGGTTCACTGTGAAGTACTTTTACTGATAGGGTCTCTGCTTTGCTGTTACTGTTGTTGTTGTTTTCTTTCTTTTTCTTATGGGCACAGAGAAAACCTATTTGGGGTGCAGTGTCTTATGCTAGTATTAAAGATGGTAACAAAAAAGGACAATGAGCTGTACCAGTGATTCTCACCTGGGGAATAATTTTGCCCCTCAAAAGACATTTGGCAGTGTCTGCTGCATTTATGTGGATGTAACTTGGGTGTGGTGTGCTATGGTCATCTAATGGGTAGAGGTCAGAGGTGCTGCTGAATCTCCTTCAGTGCACAGTATAGCTCATGACAGCAGCAACCATCTAGCCCCGAACACCCATAGTGCAGGTTATATACCTGACCTACAGGATGCAGGGTAGTTTCTGTTTCCAGGGCTTCTGATTTCCCCTTTTTAGTTTTTTTTTTTTTGTGATAAGATATTATTCCTGTATTTCAGCTTTTAGACCAAGCTCTTTCAGTTACTTTGCTTAATATATGTACACCACTAAGGATATATAACCTATGTGAAAACGTTGTTTCTACAAATGGATTCCCCTCACCTTTTAAAATTTTATTTCTAGTATTGTAGGGGCTGGCAAGTCTCCTCTGTAAAGGGCCACATAGTAAATATTCTGGACTTTATGGGTCATGGTTTCTGTTGCATATAGATCTTTTTTTTTTTTTTTTTTTTAAACAACTCTTTAAAAAATGTAAAAGCCATTCTTCACTCCTGGGCTATACAGAAACAGATGGCAGTCTGGATTTGGCCTGTGGGTGGTAGTTTTCAGACCCCGTATAGTCTATAGAATGACTCTGCATCTTCAGCCCAAAGAAAGTACTCTATCTTGTAGACAAGCGTAAATATTTCAGTTTTTCAAATTTTATTTTAAACTTGGGGTAACAATCAAATCAAGAGTCATTTTAAATGAGCACTGGGTGTTATATGGAAACCAACTTGACAGTAAGCTATTGAAGAAAAAAATATTAAAAACATCTCTAATCTGCATGTGAGAACCGTGACTTTAAGACTTTAAACACAGCACAAAGAAGCTCTGGTTTCATAAGCAAAGTCACCCAGTTTTTTTTTCCCCCAGAACATTTTTTTTTAATATCCTTTTGGCCATATGGTATACTGCAGTCATAATTCCATCTAACCCCATGCTACATGTTTTTTTTTTCTTTTTAATCCCAATGCATATCAGTTTTCTTTCTTTCCTCGCATGGGTAGAATAGTCAATTACTAAAAATAGGATTACAAACGTAGCTTAATAAAGAGTTATGTTTTTGAACTTAAATCACATGCGTTTTTTTCTTTGGGGTATTGAGAGTGCTAAAAAGAGTGGAGATAAAATCAGTCATATATCTGCTCTAAAAAAAAAAAATACTCAATTGTTTCACTTGAGGCGTGAGAAGGAAATTTGCCATAAACACTATATTCACTTCCTGCTTAGGGTAGCTTTTGCCCTGGGAGTAGAGGTGGTACTGTCAAAAGGCTCCTTTTAGAACCGGATGACTGGGTACCCAATCAATTGAGCCTTCTTTTACTCTGTTTTAACTTAGCAAGGAATAAAAAGGGGGGGGGGGGTGGTCATTGTCAGACAGTACACCCTGGTACCTTTGAATTTGGTGGATGATAGTGGCCATGGCTGCAGGGAGGGATGCATGAAGCAGCTTGATGCTTGCCCTTGTGGAGAAAGAAATCTCACAAAACCATTTTTTAGCTCTGCCTATAGTTTTTCTCTGTGGCATCTTAAGTGAATAATATTTTCTGAAAATTTTGCACAGACACATGTGAGGGATTTTAGACGTGTTTCCTGGACAGCCCATCCAGTTAAGTTCAGAGCTCTTTGGGGCCTAGAAAAGAGTTTTGAGCTTACAGACAAGAAGGTTCTTTGAGACTTACTGGTTGATTTCAACCCTGTGAAAATATTAAAATGTTTGATTAAAAATTTTTTTTAAATGTTTTATTTATTTCTGAGAGAGACAGCGTGAGCAGGGAAGGGTCAGAGAGAGAGGGAGGTACAGAATTTGAAGCAGGCTCCAGGCTCTGAGCTAGCTGTCAGCACAGAGCCCGACATGGGGCTCGAACCCGCGAACTGTGAGATCATAACCTGAGCCGAAGTTGGATGTTTAACCGACTGAGCCACCCAGGCGCCCCTAAAATGTTTGATGTTAATAAAAAGCTGTTTTCATTTTAAATTGTTGGTTACTTCTGGTGTTTTCCAATTTAAACTCTGGATTTGTTTTATGGTAGTTATTAAGTAAAACTCTGTTCTGAGGGTTAAGATTGAATGCTGAGGAAGATTGGGCAAGAGGCCTGAGAGGACAGGATCTTCAGGAGAATGCCTTGTTACTGAAATGGCCAGGCATGCAGGGGACTCCCCAGAGGAGGCTGGTGACTCCTGTATCTGCTCACAGACCCACCCGGCCCACTCCCTGCCTGCTCTCTGCTTCTTACTTGTGTTTCTGTAAAGCTTTCCAGGATGTTATGATGGTCAAGTTTATTATCTTGCTAAATATATTTCTGCCCATCTTTTGCTTTTATCTTTTTATTCCATATTCTACCAACTTGAAATTCTTTGTTTCCCCAACTCCTAGAAAAAGAAATTCTGGAGAAAGGGGAATGAGAGTTGTCTGTTATAAGGGAAACTCGGTTTTAGGAATTGGGGATGATTTTTATTGTCCTTTCGGATTCCTGACTCTTGTCTCTACTGCCCTATGATCTTTTCCTCCCATAATCTCTGTCTAGATGATAAGTTATGAACTAGTCTTTGAGCTCAGTGAAAGTGTTTGCTCTAGACTACGTGTTAGAAGACATTGGGAGTCTTACTCCTAGAGTTCAGGTTTCACCTGATGTGTGTTTGGTTGCTTTCCTTTAGTATTTTAAAAACTTGGATTTTGGGGCGCCTGGGTGGCTTAGTCGGTTAGGTGTCCAACTTTCGCTTAGGTCATGGTCTCGCGGTTCGTGGGTTCGAGCCCCGCGTCGGGCTCTGTGCTGGCTGCCGGCTCAGAGCCTGGAGACTGTTTCGGAGTCTGTGTCTCCCTCTCTCTCTGACCCTCCCCTGCTCACGCTGTCTCTATCTCTCCTAGAAATAAATAAAAATATTAAAAAAACAAACAAACTTGGATTTCATTACTTGATTCCCCCCACCCCCTTCGGTTGAATTAATGTTGAATCTTCTTTGTCTTCATAAAGACCATTGACTTGCTTGTTCTCTTCTCTCGTTCAGTCTAGATCATTACAGAAATATTTTGTTCCTAACATCTGTTCCTAATGTTCTTAGCTTTCAGTTTGTCACCTTCCATCAAATACTTAGAGAATTTCTCACTGTTTTTTATGTTGTCATAGTACCTTGAGAGAGATTGGAGAATACAAGTTATAACAATAGTCAAGGATATTTTTAATATTCTTGAAATGTACCATATCTTTTAAGGTCAGAAAAAATTAAAACCCATGCAATAAAGGTCAAGTTTATTTTTATGAAAACATTTTTAAATGTTTATTATTTTTGAAAGACACAGCATGAGTGGGGAGGGGCAGAGAAAGAGGGAGGCACAGAATCCAAAGCAGGCTCCAGGCTCTACCTGTCAGCACAGAGTCTGACATGGGGCTCGAACCCATGAACCATGAGATCATGATCCAGCTGAAGTCGAATATTTGACCAGCTGAGCCACCGACGCACCCCAGGATTAAGTTTAAAAGTGGGCTTATGAAGTTTATGACCCAGTTAACCCATATGAATGGAGAGTTACTTTAACTGAACACTGCTGATCTAACATGCTTATTTAATTGACTACAGTCTTCAAAATAAAACCATCCTTATTTATTTGGATTGGATAGTATAATTCAAGTCCCTTAAATATGTTTTTGGGACACCATGTCTAAATTAAGCTTTCAGCCAAATATTTCATCTCTCTTCTTGTGGAGCAGCTTTAATTTTATTGAATGTGATCTAGTCTAATGGCCTGTGTGCCTGTTTCCATAAGCCTTTATGCATTTGTAAAGTAGCCTTTTAAATCAGCACTTGTGTTGCATTTAAGGCACATGCTGATTGTACTATCGTGATTTCCTTTTGGAAGAAACTGATATCAGCCCTCTTGAGTCGTATCCTATCGTAGAGGATAGATGATGCCATCTAATTGGACAAGGGGTAAGTTGATGATCTTGTGGTTTAACTGCAAAGCAGATCTGGACCAGTGCTTTGGAGAGGTTTTGAGAACCATTATTTGTAGGCTTCATAATTTCACTTTCTTACCCACTGGTAATCTCTATATTTTTATTTCTGACTTTAATTGAAGTCACATTTCCCCTTTGACTTGCATGGGCCTTCCCATAGTCACAGTTAATTTTCTTAGAAGCTAAGCAGGTTTCTTTTTTCTATTCTCTTCTGAAATCAGTATGCTTTACCTAATATAATGTTCTATTCCAAATATGGCCTAGTCTGAGTTTTATTTGTACCGCTAGAAAAATTTTTGTTCCTGTATCCCCGGTATATGTTTTCATAAATTGTATGATCACGGGCTTGTGTGATTATATTCATCAACTCATAAATGCTAGTCAAACACAGGAAATAAAGATAGAATAAAAATGAAATAAACAATATATGAAATTTCTTGCTTATTAGCATGCTGACTTGCTTTACATTTCATTTACCCAGTATTTTAATAAATAATCTCTTTAAAGCAAGATTCATAAAATTATCTTGATAATTTTGAACTTCATGTCTGATTTCATGAAAGTGAGACATGTTGGATTATCTTGTGTATAACCTCATAATGTATTTTGTACTAAGAGTAGGAGAAATACTCTGCTTTCCTTGTTTTTATTTACTTGGGCTTCACTTACTGGTGTCATCCTCACTCTGACAATGATGATTTTTATAGAAATATTTCTGAAGCTACATCTTCTTCGAGGGTTATTTTAATTAAAGCTAGGGTTCCCTATCTAATCCTCCAAATCCACTTAATGTGTTATTTGTAAAGTGGATTACGTCCAAGCCGAAGAACAGGGGAAGAGTATCGCTGTCCTTTTTGGGGACTATTCCAGCTTACCTCAGGAAAGTATAGGGACTGAGCAAGGCTGAGTTAAATTCAATTAAATTTGAGTAAAGGATTTTTTTTTTTTTTTTTTTTATTTCTAGGAGAGGGTCAGAGAGGGAGGGAGACACAGACTCTGAAATAGGCTCCAGGCTCTGAGCTGGCAGTCAGCACAGAGCCCGACGCGGGGCTCGAACCCACGAACCGTGAGATCATGACCTAAGCGAAAGTCGGACGCTTAACCGACTAAGCCACCCAGGCGCCCCTAAAGGATTTTTTTTAAGTTTATTTACTTAACTAATCTTTACAAGACCCCAAGATCAAGAGTCACATGCTCTTCCAACTGAGCCAGGCAGGTGCTCCAAGAATATTTGGAAGGTTAAAAGCATATTTTTAATGGATTCTAATATTTTCTTGTCACACTGTGGTTAATCGTTATTCACAACTATCTGGATCATTCTGGAGGCTACTAACTTGTTAGGTCACCATTAAAAATCGGCTTCTGTTTTTACTTTTTTTTACTTTTTTTTAATTTTTATTTCTAGGAGAGAGAGACAGCGTGAGCAGGGGAGGGTCAGAGAGAGAGGGAGACACAGGCTCTGAGCTGGCAGTCAGCACAGAGCCTGACGCGGGACTCGAACCCATGAACCGCGAGATCATGACCTGAGCGAAAGTTGGACGCTTAACCGACTAAGCCACCCAGGCGCCCCTTGGCTTCTGTTTTTAAATGAGCACATATTAAAAAAAAATAAATTAAAAAAAAATGTCTGCCCTTAAGCTCTGGACATACCAGCAAAGATGTATAACTCTGGACAGTAAAAGTGGTCCTGTGTCTGAGAAACCTGTAAACTAGGCAATTGCAAGAGAAATTGCCACATTTACAGTCTCCCAACTGCTACAAGGTTTGGGGTGCACAGTGTCTACGTGGAGTGCCCACTGCTTTCTCCTAGCTCCCATGAGAAACAGCATGTGGCACCAAAAGATAGGGGAAAAAGCTAGGTCCAAATACATGTAGGCTGGAGTTTTCAGCACTGCCTAGGTCCTGTTTCTTAGATCCTGTCCTCCTCCTTGATCTCCTTGTTAATAGAGGATGTGAGAGAGAAGAGGGAGATGGTGGGAAGAGATTGTGGGGGCGGGGGGGGGGGGAGGTTGACAGAAAACTTGGCTTAAGTTCCAAAGGACTGAATTTTTCCTGGAAATATAAGTAAAGAAATAAGTGGTCAAGGTCACAGTGTAGGACTTCACAGGTGGGTCATATATGAGGCCCACTGAGAGAGTCCTTCGAGATCCTGGGCCTCTTGCCTGGAGAATCCTTGGATTCTCTAAAATGTGGAATTCACTCCTGGGGTAGGTTTGGTTATTACCTTATCTTGAAAATACTGGAAACTTAGAAGATTCCATTTCTGAACTTCGGGTTGTGGGTTGGTATATAAGCTGATAGAGGCAGAGTATGACAGTCCCTGCCTGGACCGCTAGAGAAGGCTTAACACTACTTTGAGTGAATCGATGAGGTGTCTCTGCATCTGGCCCCTTTAGCATTCTGGATGGAGACTTCAATATGCTCTTCTTTTCTACAAGTGTCCTATGCCAAATACGTTCTTTATTGATCATTCTAGCAATTGTATGAAATTATCTGTATTAGATTACTTGAGGGCTGGTGATACTAATTTGTATGCATCTTTAGTTGTGATGTTCCTGGCCTTTCCTTTTTGGATTATAAAGGCATGGCATCTTTGACATACAAAGCCTTCCCCCCTATGTACTCTTTCCACATATGTGCTTTCTCCTTGCAGATTCAGATAAGCTCCCCAACCAGCCCTCCTGATAGTTTTCATTCTGGATTAAGTAGTTAAGGATAGTATTGGTAACCTTATTGCTTTATTCATCACCAGGTAGTTGTAAACCTGCTATGATCCAGGCCTGTGCTTGATGCGCAGTGGCACAGTGGCACACCGCGTCCCAGCTCCTGAGAGGGTATTGGGACGAGACACACACACAAATGAGGGTCCATTGTCATTGTGATTTGTTCTCTTCCCTTACACTTTGAATTACATCAGCTCAGTTATTTCTTTGTTTTCACAAAGCACACAAAATGCCCTGGGGTGATTGGGAATAAGAATGTATGAAGATTCTTTTTCCAACTCCAAAAGACCAGAAAGAGATATTTTTGTTTGTTTGTGGTTTTTTTTTTTGGCTTTTATAAAACGAGAAGGAATTGCTCTCTCAAGTGTGCCCTAGCCTCATTGCCCCCATTCCAGGCCACAGGTCAGACAATAATGTTGAGACATTTTTCATACTTAACCTTTCATAGGTGTTAAAAGAAGGAAAAACAGTTTTTCCTCCTGCCTCACAGTCTTACTTTGGACAGTATCAAACATTGCAGCCGTTGAAGGTGGTCTGGCTACGATGAATTAAGTTATGCCTGCATCCTCTAAACACGTAATTAATTGGTATGCATTCTGGAAATTGGAACGTGAGAATGGACTCTTTGAAACTGACAAAGAAGAATCAAGTATTATAAAATCAATTTAAGTTTTGAAATAGGAAAAGGATGGGGAGTTTACAGAGTACCTACCCACCCCCAACTATTTAGTTTAAAAATTTTAAGGGAAGCTCAGGTTGGTTGGTTTGTTTCTACCTGGCTACTTAACACCTTGAGTAGGGCTACACTTCCTGTGGCAGAGTCAAAATAAGCATCAGTCTCAGGGTCAGAACTCTTTGCCCTGTTGCCTGCTGGAGCCGTGAGTCTGTTGTCTTTCTCTGGACTTTAGTTGAGCACATTGAGAAATGGCAGATTTAGCTGCTATTCTCTGCAAGGCTCTTTTTATCTGTAATATACCACTATGTAAGAAATAAAAGTCCTTCACAATTGGTAGACTGAAAGGAAATTATGGAATATTGGTACCACCATTTACTAGCCCTATGGTCTTAGGCAAGTTACTTACTCTGGGTGCCTTGGTATATTCAGGGACCAATAGAGCTATGAAAATTAATGTTAAAAAGCAAAATTCAGCTGAGTAAATGTGAAGATCAAATTGGCTTTATTGAACAATTCATGGATCAAGTAACATTTCACCTAGCAAACAAAGGAGCTCCAAGGAGATGTACAAAATGGAAGGCTTTTTTATATACAAAATGGGTGGCTTTTAAAGGGAGAAGGGAGCAGGAGAAGAGAGGTTTCTAACAGAGTGGTTTGTTTCAGGCAGGGTCCCCTTCCTTTGGGGGAAGGGTGGGGGTCTTTCCAGCAGATTACCTCACTAGAGCTAACCAGGTAGTTCCAGATGGACTGGTTAAAGTTCATATTCTTGAACCTACTATTAGATATCAAGTCTTGGTTTGCTGACATGGGGCTCCACAGGCGATTCCACTTGGGGCCTGTTTCTTTTTTCTTTTTTTCTTTTTTTTTCTTAACAGTAGTATGAAGTACATGTAGGTGCATTTGCAGCACTTAGAATTTACCTGGCAGTAGGTGAGAGCTCAAAGATTAACTGTTCCAGAGCCTCCACATTTCCTCCCTGGTTTCCTCAGATGACCACAACCATTTTCCCTGTGTGGCACTGAGCACTGTAGCCATAAACTGTATCTGTTGGAAAAACTAGTGTCTTATGCCAGTGGGTACCCATTCTCTCAGGACTATGAAAAAACCCAAAATTTTGAGACTTCACATAGAATTAACATGCAGATATCCCCTTGGAAGATGGCAGTAATAAACCCAGCTCTCTTGAACGTCCAGGGGAAAATGAGAAACTGAAGTTTGCTAAATGTGTGTTTTGCAGGTTGGACAATCTGCTCAATATGGCTTATGGAGTAAAGAGGTAATGATAGAGGTTCATGATACTCATAATCCCTTCCCATAATTGATTAGTTTCTTTGATTTTGGGAGTGACCCCCTTCATAAGTTTGTGTTCAGTTTTCTTTTGCATGTACAACTTAATGAAAAGCTGCTTTTTGAAGCACGGTTGACTGAAGGAATATTTTTTATACTGCTGGATGCCACCTGGTCTTTAAAAACCCCATTATTTGCTGTGTATTGCACTGCGACGTTATAGCATGTTTATGTATGTGTTGGTACCTTCCCCTCCCCAGTCCTGCCCAATTCATGAAGCCACTTCTAAATATATTCTAAATATATTTCTTTGCTTTCATGAGTCATATTATTTCAATACAGCATATAATGGCCATTTCATAACTTAATATCTCGTCAGTAGAGCATGTCATTGCAAGCCTTGATTGAAACATCAAATAGTTATATGTATCTGTTGAAGTGGGGGAGGTTTACTGAAACTCTCGGGATGGGAGAGGGAAAAGAAATAACGTCCATTGCTGTAACCAACCTCTGTTTCTATTTGTGTGTGTGTGTGTGTGTGTGTGTGTGTGTGTGTGTGCGCACGCGCGCATACGTGTGTGCATGTATGTGTGTCCGTATGTGTGTTTCCTGTTTTGTTTAGTAGGTTTTCTCCAATGACCATTGATGGAATGACCAGTTTGGCTGGAATTAATATCCCTGGGCACCCAGGAACAGGGTGGTGTATTTTTGTGTACAACCTGGCTCCTGACGCAGATGAGAGTATCCTGTGGCAAATGTTTGGGCCTTTTGGAGCTGTCACCAACGTGAAGGTCATCCGTGACTTTAACACCAATAAATGCAAAGGTTTTGGATTTGTGACTATGACCAACTATGATGAGGCCGCCATGGCGATAGCTAGCCTCAATGGATACCGTCTGGGAGACAGAGTACTGCAGGTCTCCTTTAAGACAAACAAAACGCACAAAGCCTAATGAGCTCTTGTCCTCAGTCCATTTATATATGAAAACTATACAACAAAGGCAAGTTAAGAGAAACTTTATACATTAGTAAATGTCTTTGTAAGTCAGTGTTGAGATGGGGATAAAACGACTACTTAGCATCCTAAGAAATATGTGAGATTTTTTATTGCTAGTATTTGAATTAAAACTTCTTAAATATCTTTTATGTTTGAATATGGACAAGAGGTACAGGGTTTTTACCTGTCACATTGCATTCTATTGCCTTCTTTGAAGAAGGTGGACCTTTTAAAGTGTTTCAGCTAAGGGAAGACATTTCTTTTCTTTTTACATAACTGCCTTGAACCTGTGAGTAAATATTGAGGCTTTGTGTTGTAATTCTTCAGTTGGTTGTGTCTTTTTTCCCCCTTTTATTTCTTTTCCTGATTAGCTTTGTGTTTGGTTTACATTTAAAGCATTACTGTTATGTCTAAGAAAAGTATTTTGAAGTTTACATTTTTATTTATGAAGTTAAAAACAGTATTTATTTTGTAATTATGATTTGGGTTGGGGAAGGGGGGGGCTACATTATAAACGCTTATTGTAAGAATACTGGAGAACTTTTCGTAAAGCAGTACCTTGCCAAAGAGATAAGAGCCTCTTTGATGTGGGTTTAAAAAAAGCATCTATTTTTATAAAAAAGAAAATTTGGAGAAACTTTTTACTGGTCCTGGAACAAATATTTTGACTTGAATACTTTGAGAAATCTCTTCATATGACACCTAGTGAGCTTTTAAAATTTACCAGGAAATTTGCAGTGGTTGGAAAATTTAGAAAGATTTATGATGTAGAAAATACTACTTTTGAGATCTTTGTATGAAAGGAGTAGAATCAATGAGGGAAACACTGCTGGTTTCGTTTTTGTAATCACCAGTGGAGCGTCTGATCATCCTGGTTATTATGTGATAGGTGGCTCACATTGATTTGTGATTTTGAAACAAATAAAAAAAATTTACAAAAGAATATATAAGAGCAGGCAAGAAATTTAAATTACCAAGAGATGGGGGAAAAAAAATCTGTTCTTCCTAAAGAAATCCCTTCAGATAGAGCTCATGGTGTTTAGTGATGTACTTGCAGTATTGTTTGAAGAATTGTTTTGTCTTAAGGAAAAAAGATGTTGCACATGATTTGTACTGCAGCAAATCGGCAAAAGTGATCTGAGTTGGATATATTTGAAGGTATTTTGAAAGTTACGTTCAAGGCTAACACCTGAGCTTTGTGTAATGTAAATAAGACCTTGTGTTTATGAACCTTTCAGCTAATTTGATTTTTTTTTTCCCTTACATGCCAAGTGATGTTCAGGTTTTGAATGTTTTTGTATCAGTTTTTTCCTTTGTAAATGGCATTAACATTGTTACCTGAGGTCTTGCTTAATCACTTTCGTTGTCCTGAGGACTTGAATTTACAGTGCATCAGATTTGTTGCTAATTTTGTCTGTAGATAGTCTAGCTTCAGCTGTTTATGGTGATGCTACATTTTCGTTTATAAATATGTTTGTGGTAAAAAAAATGAGTATAACCATAGGTTTTGAACAAATTTCCTTACATTTTTCATACAAAAATCATAAATATCTGTATGCTACTGAAATTTAACTTTGTATGATGCTTAAACCACTATTTGGGGAAATAATAAAATAAGTCTTTACCATGTATGAAAGAAATTTTAAAAAATACAAAATATTTTCTGATTAGCATCTAGCTTATAATAAATTTTCAAAAAAGCTGAAGGCAAAAATGCCTTCATCAGGATGCACTGAGAACTATATAGTTACGTCCTGCTTTTTGTATAAACTGAGATGCTCACATGCTTCCCCTTAGAACAGGCAATGTGCTATGCATAACATAGTTGTACATTATCTTTGCGGTTGCGTTGAGTTTTATTTTTTATTATTTAAAAATTGTAGTTATAAAAATTTTCAGTATAGTACAGTACATATACTGTGAGGCGCGTGCTAAAGTGAATAAGCGAGTTTTCATGCTGACCCACTCAATGCTATTCAGAAATCAATTGGCTTAGCACTTTCTCATATCCTTAGGTGCATTTAGATTGTCAGAGTTAACCTTCTGCGTTTAAAAAAAAAAAAACTAAAAAACAAAATGTATATACTTAAAAAAAAAAATAAGGTTTCCCTCACGGGAAAACAGCAGCTACGTGCTTCTTTCCTATACTACTGTAGCAAACCAAGGCATTGATGAGAGGGCATGCAAATTGTGCTTCACTTTACAGTGTTTATCAGAGCACTTAATAAAATGTAAGGCTGGTATTTATTTGAAGTTGTACAGTATGACTTAATTCACATCTGTTGGAATAGAAAATATATTCTGTTGAGTATTTAAGAGGCTGTACATGTTTTCTTTTGTGTTTGGATTCTTTGTACTTTTTCATGTTCAGTACATCAATAAACAAAGTTGAAGGGAAAGAACAGTGTGGTGAGTAGGTCTTTATACACATTTTGGGGGCTCCTGTGCTCAGGCCGATAAACTTACAATAAACTTACTCTCTTGAGTTAAGAGAGTCTCTCAGAGCTTTAGTTGAAAGCAATGTTATATCTAAAGTCAGAATTCCAAAAGCATGTTAATTGAAGTAGAAGGTGCAAAAAAAGATTTTTGAATGACACTGCTGATAGTTAGCTTTCAAATATTACTTAGTAATTTTTATAGGAATACGTGCTTTCATCTGCTAGTGGTAAAGTTTGGGTAATTGGATTGGATGCTGACGTCATTCTATTGCTCTAATTTAATAATCTCCCCCCTCCCTTTTTTTTTTTAACAAATGGGAATTGTTCTCACACATTTACATGAGCTAAAGAGAAACCAAAGAGAAAGAAGATAACTTATTCTGCTTCTGCCGGAAAGGTTTAATTCAACCATGGGATTAACTCCTAATGTGTGAGATTTATTTTTGTTGCCCAAGTGCCAGATTGTCAGGAGACTCTTTTATGAAATCAGAGGCTCAGTTTTCATTAGGTTAAGGCTGATATGTGTAACATATGTGTCCAAATCTCAAACTGAGCCAACCCTGTGTTGCTCATGCATGTTAAGATCTTGTTATACATTCTTATCAGATCTGTGGAGGAAGACAAATACTTCTTACTCATCTTTTATGTGAAGCATAAGAAGCTTCTATAGCGCTTAAGAAAATTTGATATAATTGCTTTTTTTATTTTTTTCTTCCTACGAAGTATACTAAATGGCTCTTTTAGATTTGATTGTATCTGTCAGGGATTTTTTTTTTTTTTTAAAGCCATTCTAAGAGTAATTGTCCTGAATTCACAACTTAGTAGTCAAGAGATTAGCTGAGTGACAAGACAATTCCTTTTCTTCCAACATGCAATTAATCTCGTCTCCATACCCCCTTCTTTACTATATGAATTTAATACTCTAATTTTGTGATGTCAGAACATCCTCCCCTCACCCTTCTCCTCCTGTATGCTTATCCGTATTTTGACTGGTTTGCATGTCAGCAGTTCTTTCATATTTGAGCAGATAGTGGAAAAATTCTCAGGAAAGGAAGTTGATAAGACTACTGGTATACTTGAGGAAAAATGTTTTTTCCTTAGAATCCTTTCCACCTTATGCTTGCAAATCACCCTAGAGTATTGCAATTCACTGTTAAGATTGCCAACGACATAAAGTTTTAATCTTAACATCATGTTACATTTTATTTTATTTTTTTAATGTTTATTTTTGAGAGAGAGGGAGACACAGAATCTGAAGCAGGCTCTGGGGTGTCAGCACAGAGCATCCAACCAGGACTCAATAAGTATGTTGAAATTTTAATATTTCCAGAACAACATGCATATACCTTTTATTGTGAGAAGATCTATTTAGGAGGCATTGGTTTTGATCCTTTGTCTCTGTTACTATATTGGAACCTCAAACAGAAGAAAACAAAAGTATTGCTAAAATCATAATGATTATTGTTCAAAGAGCATTTATTGTCTCAGTCATTGCTTCAAATGGCTCATTTTTCTCTACTATTCTTTGTATTCTTTGAGAATTCCCAGAAGTGGGCTCAGTTCCCTTGAGTTGGAAGGATTAAAAAACATCTACACCATTAATAACAGCCAGTTGATGTAGGGTTTCTGAAATTCACCCTTCTGAAATAGAAGTTTTTCTGGTTGTTGAACACAGGTTTATTGGTTATCTGTGTACTGTGTGTTGTGCCCCAGTCTATAAAAATGAGCAAGATGTGGCTTTTAACTTCTTGGAGACTGTCATCTAGAAGGGAGGACGGACCAGCCACAAGGCTGTGACCGCAGTTGTCCTAAGTGCTGTGAGAGCCCAGAGCAGGTCTCAAGCTAAGTTGCTGTAGTTTCTAAAAGCCCAGTTAAAACTTGCAAAATTGAACCAGCTTTCCCCATCTTCTAGATTCTGCTTTTTCTTCCTCGATTTGATTATTAGCTCCTTTGTGTAATTTTTACTCTGACATTAGTATCATTGAGTGAATCCAGAAGTGCTTTCATATGCATTAAGTTGTACATATCCTTTCTGAAGCAACATAGAAGTTATTTTATACAATAAGACACTGTGTATCTGAAGAGCTGGGTTGATGGAAGAATTGGCTGGATGTTCTTGCCCTCTCTAATTAGTACAAAGCACTAATAATGGTGAAATACCCTGAATATTAAAAGTATGCTGACTGGTGTTACTCTACTTAGAATTAAGACATATCATAATCTTAGGGTCTCAGAGTCAATATTAACTTTACTTTTAGTTTACACAAAGATGTAGGTTAAGATCTAGTAGTTTATACTAACCCCCAGAAATACTTACGGGTGTTAAATTTTCAAATACCTTCTAGCTACCAAGCATGAACCTCTGCAGTATACAGTGTCTCAGAGGGACAGACATAAGTGTTTGGATGACACGTGCTTCTCTGTTCTCACATAGCCTGTCTTGTGCTCCAGAGGATTTGTTCACATCCACAAGTAGCCGTACAGTACAAAGAAGAGCAAGAGTGCTGTGCACAAAGCACATTAAAAAGAAAAGGAGAGAGTGGTGTGTGTGTGTGTGTGTGTGTGTGTGTGTGCGTGTGTGTGCGTGCATGCATGTGTGTTGGGAGGGTAGTTGGGTGGGCATGGGAAGCCACACAGCAGTAGCAATTCAGCTGGGGCATTGAGTGGGATTTGAAAGAGATGGGAGGAAGGTCAAGAAGAGAACGCTGACCAAAGACCTGTGGGTAAGCTTCTGTCTACGTGTAGTATTTTGTGGGCGGTTGAATCATTCAATATAGGCCTATGAGTTGATTAAACGTTTTTGTGTGCAGGACTAGTGAAATCTCAGTTGAGTCTGAAATCTGAGTCCATAATGAAATAAAAACTAAATGAAACTTTGTATTCCTTTGCCCATTTCTATTGTAA